CCCTCCCCGCCCCTCCCTGTCCCCTCCCCTGTCCCCTCCCTGTCCTACACCGCACCTTCGCCTCCCTCCTCCCTGTCCCCTCCCCGCCCCCCCCCACCCTCTTCAGACGGAGTGTTGCTGCTTACCCTCGCGCGCCATTTGCGCAAAGCTTGCAAGTGGTTGCCGGCCGAGGCCCAGTGACATTTTCCACGTATGCATGTGCACATTTCCTGCCGATCCGCCGTCTGGGCGCGGCTCTTTGTTGTGTTGTTGCCTACACCGCTCCTGGCTCGCACGGTCGTGGCTGCTCGCTGCCAGCGTCAGGGTTTGGGCGTGCATACCAAAACATGCTACGTACACGCATTGCTATTTATCGTTTACCTCTTAATGCTAGTCTGCACTTTGTTCCCAACCATCCTGTGGTGTTGGGTCCTCGTTTTGAAGAGACGTCGCCCCGCGTTCTCCTCCTCTCCTCTCCTCTCCTCCCCCCCCTCCTCCCTCCTCCTCCCTTCTCCCCCTCTTCCCTGCGTTTCACCCACCCAGTACAGCGTTTCGTAGCCCCATAGGGAGCTCCACCGAAGGCCCCAGTGCCACCGTCCACATGCGTCCCCCCACTCAGTACAGCGTTTCGTGGCCCCATAGGGAGCTCCACAGAAGGCCCCAGTGCCACCGTCCACATGCGTTCCCCCCCACTCAGTACAGCGTTTCGTGGCCCCATAGGGAGCTCCACCGAAGGCCCCAGTCCACCGTGTCCACATGCGTCCCCACCAGCTCAGTACACAACAGCGCGTTTCGTGTGGCCCCATAGTTAGCTCCACCGAAGGCCCCGTGCCACCTTCCACATGCGTCCTCCCCCACTCAGTATCTCCCCCACTCAGTAAATCGTTTCCGTGGCCCCACGGGAGCTCCACCGAAGCCCCAGTTGCCCCGTCCACATGCGTACCCCCCACTCAGTACAGCGTTTCGTGGCCCCATAGGGAGCCCCACCGAAGGTCACAGTGCTACCGTCCACATGCGTCCCCCCCACTCAGCACAGCGCTCCGTGGCCCCATAGGGAGCTCCTCCGAAGCCCCCAGTGGGACCGTCCGAGTGCGTCCTGAAACACCCAATTTGGCATTTTCACCCACCCGTTACAGCGTTTCGTAGCCCCGCAGGGAGCTCCACCGAAGGCCCCAGTGCCACCGTCCGCATGCGTCCCGCACACCCACTGGTGGCATTTTCACCCACCCAGTGCATCGTTTCGTGGCCCCACAGGGAGCTCCACCGAAGGCTCCGGTGGGACCGTCCGCAAGCGTCCCGAAACACCCATTGTGGCACTTTCACCCACCCAGTCCAGAATTTCGCGGCCCCGTAGGGAACTCCACCGAAGGCCCCAGCGCCACCGTCCGCATGCGTCCGAAAACCCAACGTGGCATTTTCACCGACCCAATACAGCGTTTCGTGGCCCCTTAGTGAGCTCCACCGAAGCCTCCAGTGGGACTGTCCGCATGCGTCCCGGAAGCCCAATTTGGCATTTTCACCCACCGAGAACAGCCTTTCGGTGGGCCCCAATAGAGATGAATGGAGGTTCCACCGAAGCTTCCAGTGGGAGCGTCCGCATGCATCCCGGAAGCCCAATTTGGCATTTTCACTTACCCAGTACAGCGCTTCGTGGCCCCATAGGGAGCTCCACCGAAGCCCCCAGTGGGACCGTCCGCATGCGTCCCGGAAATCTTACTTGACACACCACTCACCCAGGACAGCGTTCCCCCCACCCAGTGCAGCGCTTCGTGGCCGATACGGGAGTTTTCACCGAAGAAGATTTTCACACTTGCGTTACCCACGAACTGGCATATGGTTTGGGTCCTTTGCCAGAAATAATTCTCATACCTAGGCTCTGCCTAGAAGGGTTCTTACTCTCTTAGCTTAAAGGGGCCGGGCAGTGGAAAGCGCCCCGGGCGGTTCCCCCAATCCCCTGGGAGCGGTTCCCCCCAGTCCCGTGGGAGCTTTAGCTTTAGCTTTAGCTTAGCTTTAGCTTAGCTTTAGCTTAGCTTTAGGTTAGATGTAGCTTAGCTTTAGCTTAGCGTTTCGCTTAGCTTTTCGCTTAGCGTTTCGCTTAGCTTTAGCTTAGCTTTAGCTTAGCTTGAGCTCAGCTTGAGCTTTGCTTTAGCTTAGCTTTAGCTTAGCTTTATCTTAGCTTTATCTTAGCTGTAGCTGAGCTTTAGCTTAGCTGTTGCCCAGCTTTAGCTTAGATTTAGCTTAGCTTTAGCTTAGCTTTAGCTTAGCTTTAGCTTAGCTGCTGCTCAGCTTTCGCTTAGCTTTAGCTTAGCTTTAGCTTAGCTTTAGCTTAGCGTTACTGTTACTACTAATGCTGCTTTCCTAGGGGTTCCAACTCCTAGGTTCGGGTCGCATGGGTATTTTTTCTACCAAACAATATTCTGGATTTGAGCTGTAGTCTTAAACAGGGTTTCCTGGCTATCAGGAAATAGTTTTTTTGTCATTAGAAACATGTTTGGGTTCTGGGGAATTTGTGGCAGGCCTCTAGGAATGCCGGGACGGTCGGTCCCTGCGCAACATCAGGGTCGCGCGCGGGGCTCGCCGCGAAATCGGGGCCAGCCAGCGCCGGCGCGCCTGAGGGGGCCCGGGGGGTCCGAGATCGAGGAGAACTGGGGCGCGGCGCCAGGCCCATGGAGAGACTCGCAGCTGCAACAGGTCGACTACTCCGAGGTCCAATTGAGCGGCGTCGAGATGACCTTGGTCGACGAAGGCGGCAACGCGTTCGCGCCGGCGACGCTGAAGTGGCGCCGCTGGGCTCTCAAGGTGCCGTGGCCCCAGCGTCGCGCGCGGCCTCGCGGTCGCTCGCGATGATCGCTCCAGCGACGATGCCTTCGGCCAGCTCGAAGGGCATGGTCAAGGCGATGGAAGGCCCTCGTCCGCTAGAGATGCGATCTCAGCATGCCAACCATCACGCGTCATGGATCAAGCGCAAGCTGCGCGGGATCCGCATCTCGCATCTCGCCGAGATGGCCAGGGAGGAGTTCGAGATCGAGGTGCAGAAGGGGCGCGACCGAGCCAAGAGGGATTCGAAGCAGAGGGGCCGAGTTGGAGATCATTCGACAGGCCGCGATCGAGTGCCAAGCGAAGTAGGAGCTGGAGGGCGGCGCCAGGCTCTTCGGGGACCCACTGCTTCAGGGGCTTCCGCCTCGCCATCCAACTTGTCATCGCGCGCTGCCGAGCCATTCTGCGTGCCCAGTCTCTCTATGTAGCCAGGCGCACCCAGGGGGGCCCATTGCCCCGGCGCGGAAGACGCCGCCGCCGCAGCAGTGCATCGCTCCGGCGAAGGCGCCCCCGACCGCCAGGAAGAGCTTCAGAGTCGTTCATCTA